CATCTGAATTGATTTTGCAATAGATTTCCATTAGATGTAGGAAGTGTTGAGCGAACTTTCGGATATAATTTGATATAATACGTCGTCTGAAGCTCTGAGGAAGGCGAGATCGCCGACACGTTAGCGATCCATCGATTTTGAAGGCAAGAATACCCACTTCAAGCAAGTTTTATCCCGAGAAAAGGACATTTTTTCAGCGTGTCGCTCCGAAAGCACTTCCATTTTGATGGGCGAAGAAGCCAATACAAAAGCTTGGCTGATGAATTTCCGCACTCCAACATCTTCTAGTTATCCTCGCTAGCCAATGTAAACATTTAAGTAATTGATTGATCGAGAATTGACCGTGTTATTCAGCTATTTTCATGAGCACTAGGAGCAGTGGTTAGAAGTGCTTTGCGACACGAATATGGTCGATGAATCGATGGTTGTGGGTTCGACACCGCGTTCAAGGTTCACTAGCCCTTCCATCCTTCCAGGGTCGACGATTTGACGGTAGCAGACTTGTCTGGGAGGATAGCAGCACTGACTTGATACATCGGTAGACCATCGCGAGTCAATGTGACGGCCAGTGGGCATTCAATCGCCTTGAGCGATGCTATGAATGGAATTGAATGTATAGTGTATCCTCTAGGAATTGATCTACGGCGTAAGCTTCATCCTTCTTTATCCTTTATGTAGCATTTTCATCGTCCAAATTGATCAGAGTGCAGATGACAAATAGTTCCGCGTATTGTCGATCATCTCGTCTCCAGCACTCTCTGCACGAACAAATGTCATTAGTTATGCAGACCGCCGCTCGGTCAATATCGACCCGCTTGGAGGAATCATTGGATTCATCAGTCGATACGAAAACTCTAATCGATCCATTACTGTCCGGATGATTGTAAGCCTATGACTTTTCTGTACGGAGAAATCAATAGATAAAAAGGAAAAAAGAGAGCTCGGAAGTCCAAACAGTTGTAAATTCACAGATGTATTCATAAAAGGTTGAGTGATAAGTAAAGACTTTAGGCCTTGGCGGGGATTGAACCCGAGTCTCACCACTTTCCAAGGGCTTCTAGAATCTTTTTGTATCACTTAACCTCTTGGACACAAACAAAACACTATAAAATTGCTTTTATAAAGCATTAGATTAAAAAGGAATACTTATGAGTGGCTAAAAACATGAACGAAACTCCAACAGTTCTCGTTTCTGATAACCAAAACGAGAGCGAGAAATCATTCAGAAATCCTTCTGACATACGGGGATATTGTAAATGAATAAACTTTGAAAAATCTCAAGAAGCTGATTGGCTCGTAAAGCTTCGACTCCTCGGGGGATTGAACCCGTGACCCACTAATCCCAGGGTCGCGGGTTCAATCCCGCGGAGATCGAATGTTTTGTATGTCACTCGACATTCTTGGATTATAATTATAACATTATAACATTGCTAGACAACACCGAAAGAAAAAGTTCTCATAAATTTCGATCTTCTAAGCTGTGAAGAAAAGCAAAAAAAATTCTCAAAAAGCTGGCTTACCCTGCCAAGGTATTGGTCCACGTAGAACTCTTGGCGAGAGTACTCATCGACGATACGATCTCCTGGCTTGAATAACGACGGACCACCACCACCACCACCGGGACCGTCTCGATCTCGATCTCGGGAATCTCTATGACCTCCTTCATGATCACCACCACAGTCGGACGATAGACAACTGCAGCCGTCAACATGTGCTTGCTCAGCGACGGCGGCGGCGGCAACAGCTGGCGGACGTGGAGAGTACAAGTGCAATCGCACCATAGAGTTCGGCTTTCGATCGCTCGGTGTCTAACTAAGTCAGCCGTCAGGAGAGAAGAGGAGAGGAGAGGAGAGGAGATGTTCTGAAATCAATAATCTATAGATTATAAGTGGATTTTGGATCTGACTGAGCTCAAAGAAGTAGTAGAAACGACACGCGTCAAAAGAAAAGAAGAAGGAGATGATGAGGTAAACGAAAAGGGAAAATGTCCAAATACAACAACAAATATGCACCTAAGTTGTCTCTAATCAATTCAACGCTTTCGGGACCGTGGGCCTCCTCTGAGTCTCTAAACTCTAGTGTGGCAGCACACTAAATGTATTATTGTATTGTTTCAACTGTCATATTCTTGTTATTTTTCTACTTGTAACAACATAATATATTTAATATAACATAGGAAAATATCAACAATGATATCATTGCAATAATACATTCAGTGCGTCCCCACGCCGGGGGTCAGAGACGCAGGGGAGGCTGAGTAGACCGCCCAGCGTTGGCACGCTAGGGGTTAGAGAGGGAGATGACGTGGGTCCATGGTACCAAAAGAGTGGAATAAAGTTCATTCTCTTCAAAATCAAAAGAAAATCAAAGAAAAGATTATAATTCTACCACAATTAGGTCACATTCTATCATTACAAGAAACGAGCGAGAGAAAGCAAATTTTTCAAATTTAGCAGTTCTCATTAGTTTTTTTTTTTTACTTTGTCTTCTATGTTGGTGTAAAAATGAACAAAATAAACAAGAAAAAAACGACTGAAAAGCATGAAATTGAAGCAATTTCCTTCTTTTTGGACTTGGCGGGAGCCAAAAACGAAAGCAAGCGGCGGGAGGAAATTTGAAATCACTCACGTATTGCTATTTGAGATTCAGGGCGCGCGCGCGAAATTCAAATTTTTCGAGTTGTAAATTCATAAAGCTTAAGAATTCCGTTAGTCAACAACGGAAACGGAGCGGATACGAGGCGGATGGAAGATGCTACTCGAGTCGAACTGGCTGGCAAACAGAAATCACACACGACGACGACGAACATCACGGTGTTTATATAAACAAACGATCTCCTACAAACAAACAAAATCGACGGTGGCGATGGTGGGAAATTTGGAGGACCGCGAAGAGAACACCGACAACAACCACTATGAATCATTTATCGACACCGTTCGGAAATGTAGGTTGATACTGGAACGATAGAGTAGTGGCAGTATGCGCCCCAGGTAAGGGACAAACGGGGGTTCAATTCTGCTGATATCGAAATTTCGCGTACCTCTTAATCTTCTTAGATGACTAGTTACAACATCATACCATCTCTAGAAAGCAGTATAATCAAAAGAAACGTAAGTTCACATATGAAAAAGCTGTCAGCTCAACAGGGCTTCATGCCAGTGTGAGCTTACCAGACCAAACCCGTTAATGGTCGGTTGCTGACAGCTTCAACAGCTCATATCAAAAAAAGATGGTCGTAAAGCGGTGGACTTGGTAGTGTAGTGGTAGTACGCGGTTCAGGTAAGAGTGAAACACGGGTTCAACTCTCGTCTGAGGCCACATTTTCGCATTCCACTAAATCTTTTTAGGTGTTTTAAGAGATATAATCCAGCGGATGAAAGCTAGACGTTGTAGTATTCGTATTCGTAAGCCAGTGTACTGTCGCTTCAAGATCCAAGGACGTTAGCTGAAAATCAGCGATGCGAACCATTAGAAAGAGAGGCGCTGGTTCGATCGGCCCTGCCTCAGTACCTCTTTTCAATCAATCGACGAACGTCTTAGCTTGGTTACTCCAAGAGTCGTCTCGACCAGCGTTCCACGACTTGTGTAGAGAAGACGAGATCTTCAAGCAGCAGCCGAGGGACCATCTGGAGTTTTGGAAGACCTTTGTGGAGGACGAATACGTGGAAGGAAATCGAATGGAACGAGTGACAGGATGCGTAAAGGAATCTGGCACGATAGATGGTTTAAGTAAAAGAAGTATTGCCACATTTGTTGTCCCGTAAACGAAGAAAGAGCACTCGCATAGCGGTGGCTTTGGTGGTGTAGTGGTAGTACACGCCTCCGGTCGAGACAAAACAGGCGTTCAACTCCCGCCTGAGGTCGGTTCTTTCTCTATCGCCGATCTTCTTGAATGCTTTGTGGTTGCTGTTTCATGAAAAAAAGTACCGAGTCTAAGCAAAGATTTTTTCATCTTAGACTAGTAGCGATAATATGATGACGTCACAACCTTGTATCCAAAAATGTTGAATGAGTATGCAAAAATTTCGAAAGTTGAAACCCACGCGTCTCGCCCTTATCGGAGGTGCGTGCCGCTATTAGTAATAGTGTAAGTGCTCTCACCCACCGGATATGGTCAGCGGCGAGTTCAGTTCCCGCGCGATGTTTCACTTTTTGCGTACCACTCATTCAACATTCTTTGATGTCTAACCAGATACTTCTAAACGCCGTCGAAAAGAGTGATTTATGGGTCCAGATCCTACCCGAGGCTGGGATTTCTTACCTACCAGTCAATCTTCTTAGATACCGAGTCCAAATTCATCTGACCCCATTTAAGTAACAAAACAATTACAAGAAATAAACTCACTTAAATGAACTCCCATTCCAGAGAATGCTCAGAGTACACGCGAAAGTTTCAGCGCATGCCACCATCAAGTAAATAAAGGTGAGAATGGCGCGTAAAAACAACAAGCACAAACAGAGATCTTCAATAGCTCTCTCTGGGAAGCAAACATTTCACCCCAGGTGAAGATCGCAATTGTGAAAAAAAACCATTAATACTTCGTTTTTATAAGGCAAATCGGGATGAATCAATATATATATATATATATATATATAATATACATCTATATATATACATATATATATACAATATATATATATATACATATATAAATATATATGTTTATGTACACGTACACATATGTTTGTACATGTATGTGTGCACATATATGCATACATACGAGTTGATTCGTCTAAGTAGCTAGGTCTTGACATAGGTTTCATTCTTAAAACACCATGAGCAATCAGCACTGTAATGGTCAAAGATATAAAAAATCGTGACACCATTAAACTGATACTAAAAGTGGCCTACTGGCCAAAAATCAAACCAGAGTTGCCAACTTGGCAGGCGGGCATTCTACCACTGAACCTTGCATGATTCTCGACTATGTCTTAACTCCAATGATTTTTTTTTTCTTGTTTCACCGGCTATTAGAGCAGCATTAGATGTTATGAACTTCCGTCCCCAGACGGGAGATGAACTCGTGTTTCACCCTTATTTGGAACGCGTGCTACCACTACACCACCGTGGCTATCGTCCTTTCATGCTCCCTGTATATTGAATAATCTACGTAAAATCTGTGCAAAGTGTAAAGGGGACGGTGTAAATTTGAGGAGATACGTAGAACCTCATGTTCACTACAAATCTGACCTGTTGCTGTCGATCGTTCTTTACTCTCTTGTCTCACTATTTCACATTTCAAAAATGAACCAGATGAAATTCTTTTGAGAAATGTACTTTCTGACAAACTCTAGTAAGATGAGGCAACGTCATGATAGTAAGCATGATTAATAGCTCTACCACATCAGCTAGTATCAGATGATGACTAAGATCTCCGTCAAATGTTTACTCGGTGATGAGTAAGTGCAAACTGCTATACAATTTTAGGTAAATCAGAAAGAATCTTGAAAAAATTCGTAAAAAATGCAGAAAAAAAGGAATCATAATTTATATGGAAAAGAATAGGGAATAAGACAACAATGAACAAAATCACCGACTAAGGGGCGTAAACATTAAACACAATGAAAAGTGTCCAATCAAACAATCGATGTGCATACGATTGTTTTTTCAATAGATAATTTTATAAAACTTCGAAAAAAAAATCTACCGTGATGCTGTAAAGGCCGCTAAGCCTATTTTTCAAAATGTTATAATAAGTACAAACATCAAATTTCCTACCATATCGTTAGCGCCATAATAGATTTATGTATTATTACTACAATAAAAATCAAAAGTTCGGTTTTCTATAAACTTCGGCATTGATAATCGATTTGTTTAAATTTCTTTACCAACTGCGCTTCAGCTAATCAAGATAAGTTCTTACGATTGAACATATCTATTACTACTTTTTTAACTTTTATCTATTGCTCACTCCTTTCTCATGGCAGGCACAATGTGAAATATCATATCATTGATCAGATAAGATATCAAAATAAATCAGTGCTCGATAACACAACAATAAAGCCCGTAATATGATAGGTGTCATTATAATAGATGTTATTATATCACAAACATTTTATGTTATCTAAAATATTATGATTACTATCAGATCAAACAACAGTAATTTGGGTTAACTAACGCATCAAGAAGATTCTCAAAATCGCTCATAAGTCATTTTAAAAAAATGAAATTCTAAGAAGAAAACTTTCAGAATCAAATAAAAATTTTTATCAATCTTATTTTGAAGAGTAATAACTCGCGGCTAGACTACAATTACTGTAGAGGTCGTCGAAGGCCATCACTGCAAGTAATCAGTGAAAAAAATCCAAATGTTCAACGAGAAACTCGTTTGCGGTGACTGAGATCAGGGTTGACGAGGGTCGAGAATACAGCACAAGGTTACTGACTTGATTCATTGAACGATGGACAATATTCATTCGGAGAAGTGATATTCAATCAAATTCTGCCAGATTGAGCCACCTGTTCTCGGTGTGGTGATAAAACTTACATTGGAGGTTACGCGGTGGAGAGCGACTGGAAGCTGCACTTACCAGTCGGTATCACGGCGAATATAAAGAGCCGAGTGCCAATGAACTCTAAACAACTTGTCACGCAGTCCATGTACTTCAGTTTTTCATATGATCACTGATGGAACGATCCTATGATCGACGACTGTTCGCCTTCGAATGAGTGTTTATGTGAACTTAACCAACCACAGAACACAAGTTGAATGGTGATGTACTTCTGGACAGCGAATTATAAGTTTGTTTATTATTGGCATCACTGTGAACTTTTCAGCTCTCAAATCTAGTGGAAGTGACATATATCACCTTATTATATCATTCTGGATCAATGGTGGCAGAGATGTGGCTTCAATGGTGTAGTGGTAGCACTCGCTCTCGGCATGGATGATTCCCAGGTTCTATTTTGCCTGAGGTTCGAAACCTCGCATATCACTCAGGATCCTTAGATACATATTTCGAATCACTTTATCTCAAAAATTCAACAAGAATGATAAGATTTCGTCGCAAATTTTGACTCGACACATAGAGCTCAATATCTATGGACTTCAAGCATTTACTGCAAAAGTAGTTGTCTATTTCAAGCTTAATCCAACGTATCTTAGATCGCAATAGGTAGATTGGTGGGACAAATGACTTCAACAAAACAAGTAACAAAATGTGCTTCCGACTACCAGTGATGGTGATTATGAACTCTGTTTTCAATCAGCCACCTCAGAAAGGAAAAATAGAGTTGTTCAGAGATAGTTAAAATACTATCGGCATGCGAATATGGCATAGAAAGATACATTGCAGTGTCTCTTGAACAGATAAAGGAAGCATTTTGAATCAATGTTGAAGGTGTAGTAAAAAATTCCATTGCTGTTGCATGTAGAGGCAATGCCTATTCAGAAGAAACTTGGAGAACGAGAGATAGTTGCCGACATCGATCAAAAAAAAAAAGCTTTGGCGGCTCACATCGTCGTTTTTAGGGCTGCGTATACCACGCTCTGCCGCCTTCAGGTATATTTAGGATTCCCACTAATATCTCAGAGAGAATGAAAATTAGAAGTCGACGAGAAAACAAGAGAGAAATGCGATGTTTGGTGTCCAAGGACCGGAAACAGTCGCTGACTGGAGAAGTGTGCTGAAGTATTTACGAGAAAAATGCTAGTTATAGGAAGGACCGTTGGCCAGATTAAGCCGGAAATGTAGTGGGCACAAAGATATTGTGTTGTGAGTGAGCGCAATAAGACCGGCCGGTGTATGTGCGAACGGACGTTCTACTTTGCTGGCTGAGCGCAGACAGAAATGAGATCCACATATTAGATAACCTTAATCGAAGACGTTACTAATCGCGGAAACGACGTCCGACTGAAACTGCTTGAACAGCCATGTGTTCCAGAATCGGAACGGTCTCACGATAGGCAGATGGCAGAAATCGTCGATATTCAACTACATGAAACAGAAATCAATTAGATATGCGGGTGTCTCTTCCGAAGATAAAAATCAAATACATCTAATATCTGCAGAAAATACGTAAATGCAAGTGTTTAAAAGTCATCGATTACGATCATCAGGACAGAAGAACTGTTCAGTGATCGGCCGTTGTTGAGAAATTGAGTGATGTATTCAAGGAAAGTGAACTTAGAATTTGGATGGAAATAATATTGCAAACATCGATTTCTAGAAATTTTTACTTGCCTGGTGAGAGACCACCAGGCTGGAGGCCCCTATTCATTGCTAGGTCTTACTGTGAGAAATATAGACTCTGTAATGTGAAACAGACTCCGCTCACAGCATGAGAACATAAATCTTTGTAAAGTAGATATTTTGATGAAAAGTATTTCCTTAGAAGTCATGCGCTTCATCTTGTAGTTCTTACGAACAACTATACTTGTCCTTGACCCAACAAAACGACAACTGTTGAAATTTCGTGATGAACTCGATGGGCATCGATAAAAGAACCCAAGAACTGGAACGAAGTAGGGGGAAAAAAACTAAATGACACAATTAAATTGAATCTGGTGGTTTTCACTGCGCAGAAATGGACTCGTTTGATATCATTTCATATCGTAAATGGAACTATTTTCGTTCGCTCCAGTTTTTTTTTTGTAGCTTAAGTGGTTCAACTATATTTTTCTTCTATTAATGTTTATGGTTTCAGAAAGGATGTTCAGAGTAATTTGATATCATAAACGAAACTACAATGGTCAATTCTCTGGTATTTTTGAGTTCAAATTTCGAAATACAGTCAATCACTCGTTTGACATTATTATAGGAATCAGAGTAACCAAATTAATCGCCGCTTTACAATTTACGATACGATTGACCTGTATGACAATAAAACTATTCTCCAAAGTGCAAATGTACTTCGGAACGGCTTAAATTGAGCGAATGGTATAGAACTGTTTGAGACGAAAAGTGTACTTTCAGATAGGATAGTTTAAATTGGATCGTGAGTATTTGTCTTTCACTCGTCGATGTGCCCTTAAAGTGCTAAAGATCAACGGGAAGAACGGAATGAAGATTGATCATACGGAGGAATAGCCATCCTAGACAACGGACAATGTTCGTCTCTATAGCGAAGAACGAACACAGAAGCTCAGATTGATAGTAGTAATGATGATAAAATAACTATAATGGTAATAATAATAATAATAATAATAATAATAATAATAATAATATTAACATTAGTAATAGTAACAATAATAACAAATAATAATAGTCTAAATGTCTTTGGTATTTTGCAGGCATCATATCTTATTATTTATTGAAGTTTAGTTTTAGTACGTTCTGTAATCTTATCAGCATCTTTGTTTTCTTCTAAACGTTCAGTTGATTGACTTCAAGAGAGTGTTGAGCGGCGATTTAACCACTGCTTTACTTATCACTTTACTTCCTGATGTACTGCATCACTAACTATTATGGTATATCTTCCCTAATAAAAGATCTCTTCCCTAATAGTAACATAATATATTTGATTATAACTATAATTAACATAATCTCTGTGCGCTTGTCCCCACCAATGGGAAGGGAAAGACTTTTCAGAGACTTTGACTTTGTTTTTCTCAACTTCGTGCTAATGGTTTAATCTACAAAGATTGCATGATTGGTTGGTTGTGTGAAAGTTGAAAGGAAGCCGGTTTTCAGATTATTATGATAGACTTATAGAAAACGATTGTAAGAGTTTGTAGAAAAAGAAATGAGAGACTTGTATGTAAAAGAGAACGGTGAGTATCTGAACAAGTTGTTGCACAATGAGACTGACATTTTGATTCGCGGTTTTGGTGCTGAGGTTATAGAGGTATCTGGCTGACTAAGTTACATTTAACTTGACCTCTCCGAGTTCTGAAGAGTGTGAAACCCGCCCAGAGGTCAACTACTAGTAATATGCAATATAACAGCACCTCTTCTATCCATATCAAAAGAGAAAAAAACGGTAAGCACGAAAACTTTTCAGCAAGGAACTAACGACGGAGCACTTCTAAACCTAAACGGAAGAACTATTAAATCTAACATCCGTATTAGTAGACAACTAATAATGCCATACAAGTAAATATGCAGCCAGCATACAAAGAACCGAATCGCA